ACTCAGGAAGCTAGGTGCTGTCCTGTTAACACGACCATTCATTTTCATTTCCATCCATTGTTTGGTCGTCCAGTGTTTGCACCTGTCAATGAAGTGACCACAGAAAGGCCAGCATGTGTGTTCCAGAGAAAGTGGAATGTCAGCAGCTGGCAAAACAAAATGACATTTTCATGTGGACAGAGCTGGGATTCAATAATGTGCTGGAGCAAGGTGAAAAATTTGACTTGGGACAAGGAACAAATACCGTAGTCAATATGAGGTGCTTTGCTTTGTTTTGCTTCTGACGAAAAGAAATGCTATCTCCATTATCACAACTCAGCTATCTTCCAGTAAGACTGAATAATTATTTGCATTATAGAAGATATGCTGCAGCAGTCTTATCTCTAGCTCCATGGCTGATCATCTTGAGAAAAATAGAACCTTAGAAATCAATAACGAATTTCACTACATATTCAAAAGCAGAATGTTAAAATAAATCGCTAATCACTGACATGAATTTGGATGGTATGAAGTAAGACATCATTGCCTTCCAATATGGCACCTTGTTTTCCTAATTGTCTGAGTTTTTAAAACTTGGGTACCTGGCCGGGTGATGGTGGTACATGCTTTTAATCCCAGCACTTGGGAGGCAGAGCCAGGAGGATCTCTGTGAGTTCGAGGCCAGCCTGAGGTCTACAGAGCGAGATCCAGGTCAGGCACCAAAACTACACAAAGAAACCCTGTCTCGAAAAGCAAAAAAATAAAATAAAATAACTTGGATACCTTTTCTTTAGCATAGTAGTAAGAGCCTTGGAGTGCTTGGATCTTTTGTTCAGTGACCTCCATGGCCTACAGCTGACCAAAGGGCACTGACTTCACCCTGTACCCCATACCTTGGTGGAGAGACCATTCAAGTAGACTGTCCCTGTTGAGAACAAATAGATGAAGTGATCCTTAAATGTGTCTGCCTTGGGTCACTTCAGTGACTTTTTCATTTTCTTAATCCTTCCCTAGCTTTTCCAATGGTTACACAGGATCTAAATGCGTTAAAAGTCAGGGATAAAAGGCTGCCCCCAGGCATGGGGAACCTGTAATTTTGATTAATTGTTGTCTTACTTGTCTGTTCATTTTCGGAGACAGAGCCTCCATGTATCTCAGGCTGACCTCAAACCCACTCCCAACAAGTACCTTGAACTTCTAATCCTTCACCTCCATATCCTGAGTGCTGGGCACCACTGTTCCTGGTGGTCAGGGTTTGATCAGGTGTTTCGTGTTCTTGGTTTATTCAAAGAATTGAGATAAAAGCCCACATAGATCTTAAAAGGGAGCAAGGCAACTTTCTTCAAATCAAAGCAGTAGTAGATATTAGAATGAAATATACTGTCAATATTGACAGCAGGCCATGTGGACAAAGGTCTCAACAGCCTCAGTTACTTTTTGGAACTTACTTTTATGGAGTTTAAAGTAAGTTTGGTTTGTAAAGAGTGCAGTTTGGATGGTTCTCTGTGGGAGCCCACAAAGGTTTTCTAGTGAGATCTGAGCTTGCTTTACCCAGCAGGGCTGCATACGGGGATGGATTGACCACATGCATGGTTACCAGGTGTTCAGAAGGGTCTGCACTTGGCTGTGCTAGGGGGAGGTCTTTTGCTCCACCCCTTGGCATTCCTTTAAAAAGCCCTTTAGAAGAGACAGAAGGGGCCAGTGGATAAGGATCCAGACCCTCTTGAGGCTATCCTGTGTTTCTGTCTTTTTATCTCCCCTCTATCCTTCTATCTAAATCTCTTATCCCTCACTCCCCAAGCTTACCCTGGAGTAAAGGTGGGGGCAGGTCCCCCGCAGTTCCCTATTTTGACTGACTGTTATACAAATGTTTTCTCTACTGTTCATGTCCCTTTCCATAATGCATCTAATTTTAATCATACGCATGCTCCATTGTGCATAGGAATAAGAAGATAAACAGAGGGTTCTTCCTAAAAGGCCACTTCAGGGTATAGTTTGTCTTATTGTGAATATACCCAACACTAACTCAAGACAGAGGGGCTTCCCACTTACTGTAACTGGACACAACGGAAATAATGATGAACAAGGTCTTTGTTAGTTTGATGCTTGTTAAAGAAAGGAGAAACTTACTCCATTATTAAGAGGGAATGGGTGTATACCTCCATACAGATTGGGGTCCTCAGGTTGCTAGGTGCAAGAGCTGTTTCCATAGTATATGCAAATAAAAGTCTCAGAATGCCAAGTGCATTGTTAGAAGAGGGATATGCGCAGGGCTCACACCAAGTAGAGTCCTAGGTCAGTAAACTATTCCCTATGCCTGCCTGACTCATCACCATGCCAGGTTTATGTGTGCTGGAGTCTGGATTCAGAGTTTTACGCATACTAGATCAGCACTCCACCAATGGAGCTATACCCTAGCCTTGAATTAAGTCAACTTCTGAATCTCATCACATTCTGACTGCTTTACTACACTAGTTTGCATTTTTTGCTTAATCAATGTAGTTGTTACACTTTTCATGACTATTACCAAGAAAACAACTTAAGGGGAAAAAATTGTTTTGCCCATGACTTCAGACATTTCTGTCCATCTTATCAGGGAGGATAGATTGGATCAAAGCCACTCAGATCATGGTTGACTGGAAGCAGAGAGAGAATGCCTACATTAGCTGGTTTCCCCACTTTCTCCTTTTATTCCACAGCTGTCCTTGCCCCCAGTCTATAGAATGGTGCCACACACATTCAAGATGGGCCTTACAGCTTAGTTATTCCTCTCTGGAAATGCCCTCTCAGATATACACAGAACTGTGTTTAACAATCCCGTAGGCAGGACTAGGTAGATTACTCAGTGGGTAGTTCTTTGCTGTGCACACACGAGAACCTGAGTTTAGATCCTTGGCACCCATGTAAAAAGCTGGACATGGTAATGTGTGCCTGTAATCCCAGCACTGGGAGGTAGAGACAGGAGGATCCTTGGGGCTTACTGGCCGGATGATCTAGCCTATCAGTGAGTTCCAGGTTCAGTGAGAGACCCTATCTTAAAAATACAAGGTGGAGAGTGATAGAGGGAGACACCCAGCATCAACCTCTAACCTCTACACACGCACACACACACACACACACACACACACGCACGCATGCACGCACACACACGCACGCACGCACGCACACACGCACGCACATACCAAACAAATAATAATCTCATATGCACTTCTAAATCCAGTCAAAATGACAAGATTAAGCCATGAAGTGGGTCAAGGGCTTTCTGCCAAGCCAGACCACCTGGGTCCAATCCCTGGGATCACATGGCAGAAGAAGAGAACCGACTCACCCCAAATTGTTCTCTGATCACCACATATGCCCAGAACCCATGTTTGTTTCCACACACACACAAAAAAAATAAGCTAGATAACATGCAACAAAATAATTAAAATATAAATTAACCAGGAAAATCCAGGGCTGAGTGCAATCTGATGCTGTAATTTCTCTGCACACTTCCATATACATCCTGCACATATTACATCTTGATGTAGGTGAGTTTGAGAAGGCTTACATACGTAAGGGACTGAGTTTGTATCATCAAGATGCTATTCCAAATTTGTTATTCCAAACTTATCAGTCTGGGTATTGGTCATTAGCTGCCCACCAAACACTGGTACCTCCCCCTTCCTGGGTTTGCCCCATCTTCACCTCAGGCTTTACTTTTGGTTGCCAGGGAAAGCTCATTTTTCTTTAGGATGCAGAACTGCTCAGCTCTTTCTAACCCCTGCTTTAATGCAGTCACCTCTACCAAGAAGGGCAATGGACCATGGGGCTATGGAGAAATCAGAACCTATTTGCAAAACGACGTGGTAGTGTTAAGCAGGAACGTTTCTGTCCACTGCATAGAAATTTAATGTTAATTAACCAAGATGTGTGTGTGTGTGTGTGTGTGTGTGTGTGTGTGTGTGTGTGTGTGTGTGTGTCTGTCTGTGTGTGGTTCTGGGAATGTTACTGGAACCTCGTGTGAAGTAGCTAAGTATTCTGCCATTGAGCTATATTTCTAGCCCAGCCAAGAGTTTTAACATAGTGTATTCTTTATATTGATGAATTCAGGTGGTTATGAGCACATGCCCATAAGAATTCATTAAACCATTACTCCTCTGGAACCATGTGACACACGCCCTCTCAATTTTTCATTTCTGTTCTTCCCTCTCCTCTTCCTCCTCCTCCTTCAGACAGGGTCTCTCACTAGCCTGGACAGTAAGCCCCGAAGATTCACCTGTCTCCCCCTCCCCAGCACAGAGATTACAAGCTGATGCCACAAAGCCCTGTATTTTTAAAATGGATTCTGGGAATGGAACTCTGGTCCTGGGGCTTGCAAGGCAAGCACTTTACCAACTACCTCCCAAGATCCTATACCCAATATAGTCTCACTTCCAAATAACCTGCTGCCCCTTCTACAGAAAAGTCTAGCAATGGAAACTTAGCATTTTCAAGTACTTTTAAAAAAAAAAAAGCTTATGGCTTTGTAGGAAAATAACTTCCTGCTCCTCCTTCATGGTTTTAAAAAGTATAATGGTGAATGGGGCTGAAGAGATGGTTCAAGTGGTTAAGAGCACTGACTGCTCTTCCAGAGGACCTGGGTTCAATTCCCACCATCTACATGGTGGCTCACAATGATCTGTAACTCCAGCTCCAGGGGATCTGATGCCTTCTTTTGACTTCCGTGAGCACCATGCACACAAGTGGTACACATACAAGCAAAACAGACATATACATAAAATAATAATCTTTTAAAAGTTTTTAAAAGTGTAATGATAAAGTCTGGCCTGTTACTATAGCTGCCATTGACCAACTTCGCATGTGTTCTGTACACTGGATTTTAGGCATTAAATGAGGCAGTGAAGACCTCTGGGCTACATTTGGAAAATTTCAAGTCTCTATTTCCTTTTTTCAAACTAAGATAGACAAGACAGAAAGGAAAACTATCTTCATGCATTAATCTGATATTTTGTCTTTACTATGATTTATTCTCTTCACAGGTTACATTTCTAATACCTCACCTGGTGCCTGAAGAAGTATTGCTAAAATTACAGGCGCTTAAGGTATGAAAATGACCACTGAGAACTCCATTATTAACCTCATTATTGCTTATGGATTCTGGCTATTCCTAGGAAGTAACAAAGTCAATCATTACAGGAAATAGAAGTGTATGGTCATAAAGCCTTCTGACTTTTGAGAATTTTCAAAACAATCTCATTATCCTCTCAAGGGAATCTCAACATTTCTTTCTGTTGGTGGTAATCAGAATTCCCCTACTACTTAGCAGAAATAGCCTTTTCTCACTTAGGAGGAAAGAGTGGTACCATGAATATCTTTAAGCTTGTGCTGGGTTTTTGTGTTTTCTGTTAAAAGGATGAAGACAAAAAAGCTTTACAGGATCAGATACAGAAATTAAAAACTGAATTAGAGAATGAAAAGAAGAAGATGGAGAGGTACTGGGCTTATTGATACACATGGTGTCTGTCTGCAGCCAAGACACTACCTAACCACATGCAAATGTGTTCCAGGTTTAGAAAGGATGCTGATCGGATCAACAAAAACTGGGAGAGGAAATTTATCATCCTCAGGAACAGGTATAGTGTACACAGTGTTGATATAGGTATATAGACAAATTCCATTTATAGAAATACAGCCACTCATCTTTCGGGACAACTGGAACTCTTGTGGGTTTTTTTTCTATATTAATTAATGTTAAATGACCTCACATACTTTCAGTAAGAACTGCAACATGGTTTAAAATAGAAAAGTATTCATAGTCACTTAAAAGAAAGAGGAATTTGGGGCTGGAGAGATGGCTCAGAGGTTAAGAGCACTGACTGCTCTTCCAGGGGTCCTAAGTTCAATTCCCAGCAACCACATGGTGGCTCACAACCATCTGTAATGAGATCTGGTGCCCTCTTCTGGCCTGCAGACATACATGCTGTATACATAATAAATAAATAAATCTTTAAAAAAAGAAAGAAAGAAAGAAAAAAAGAAAGAAAGAAAGAAAGAAGAAAGAAAGAAAGAAAGAGGAATTCAACACTCCCACTCTCTAGTTCTTTGTTTCCATCCTGAATGTAGTCCGACCTATCCAGGAATCTTCTTCAGCAGCAGTTTGCACATAATCATGAAAAGTGGTTTGCGTCATCTTCACAAATTGCTTCATATACTAGGTTCTTTACCCACAATTCCTTAATCTCTCACCCACACTTTACTCATATAATCATTTAATTTCTTCTCCCAGAATTATGTTTGCTTTTTTTTTTAATGGCGAAAGTGGAACTGTGAAATTCTGGACCAGATATTGTAACACATACCTGTAACCCCAGTACTTGGAAGAATGGAGCAGGAGGATTGCTAAGAGTATGAGGCTAACCTTGGCTACATAGGGAGTTCAGAGACAGCCTGGACTCTATAAATGAAACACTGTCTAAGAAAACATGAACAAGAAAGGATGGAAGGAAAGGCCAGGAGGAGAGAGTGAGGAGGGAATGAAAGAAGAAACTAAAATCCTGAATAACAGTATCTAATTTTTGCATTGAATATAAATGCTATGCAGAGTAAATGCTTCTTCTCTCCTTTGTCCTATCATCTGAACATTTAAAAATGCATTTCCTGTCCACTTGTTTCCTCACTTAATTTCCACCCACATTTTCTTAGATGTCACATAATTATATTATATCACATAATGACATTCAAGAAACTTAATAGTGAAGGGCAGTGATGGACTGATGTGGGTCAGTATATGCTAAGCTTAAAGCTCATGTATGACATGAATACATTGCAATTTGCTCTGCAAGGCAATAAAACACTGCATTTACCCTACATGTCATAAGCACATGATATACATCATGTATAAAAATCCTACACCTGACGCTGAAATAGTTAGGACTGGCTAGCAACCAAGATCTCACGTAATACCAGAAACAATTCCAGATGGTGAGCCCAAGTCTCCTTCTCAGGTGAAAATTCTTCTTTGTGCTCCTGTTCGGTTCCATGTATCTGCTGGTGACTCCTGCCCTCTGTGAAATGTGTATCCTTTTTATTTTTGGCTGTCTGATACAAGGTGTTACTCTAAAGTCCAGGCAGGTCTTGAACTCACAGCAGGCCTCCTGGTGAAAAAAGAAAATGACTTCAGTCCCATGCGGTGGAAGAAGAGAAATGACTTCCATAGTTGTCTTCTGACTTCCACACAATGTGGCATGTGCATGTCCACACACACACACACAGAGAGAGCAAAAAAAAAACAAGAAATGGTACTGCAGTTGAAATATATGGGAAAATGGAGTGAGCAGTACATAGCTACCAGGTGTGAGCAGGGGAAGCAGAGCACACCTGCACATGGGTATGCACACCTACACATGGGCATGCACACCTACACATGGGCATGTACACCTGCACATGGGCATGCACACCTACACATGGGCACGCACACCTGCACATGGGCATGCACACCTACACATGGGCATATACACCTGCATATGGGCATGCACACCTGCACAGGGGCATGCACACCTGCACAGGGGCATGCACACCTACACATGGGCATATACACCTGCATATGGGCATGCACACCTGCACAGGGGCATGCACACCTGCACAGGGGCATGCACACCTACACACATTACAAAGAGGGAATGGGGAAGGAATGGGCATTTGGTATTGAGGAATATTCAGTCCACCACGCTCACTCTTTTGTCCCCCAGATGTTCATGCCTGTCCTGCATGCAAAGTGCTATCCCAGGGCACTTTAACTCTTCCTCCCCTCACCCTACTCATCACAGAGTCAGCTCAAGTCTAAACACTTTCTAAGACTCATATCTCAAAGTCTCAATTCTCATTGTCTAAATTCAGGATCAGTGAGGTTCTGGCTATAAATTCATTCTTATGTACTCCTGAAACTGTGGACAAGACCGTTTGCTCCCAAATGCAAAGTGGGATGGGCATTGTATTGACACAGCTGTCAATAATACTAATAAACCTTCGTGTTCAAAAAGGGAGGACAGAGGAAGAAATTTCAAAGGTCATTAGCTGTTTTGTTTTTGTTGTTGTTTTTTGTTTTTTTTCCCCTGATGCTGGGGGTGGAACCAAGGGCCTTGCCCATGCTAGGCAAGTGTTCTATCACCGAGATACTGCCCCGATATTTTTATTCACTTACAATCACTAGAAAAAGCATTCCCAGCCACACTCCCAACTCATGTATCACTAACAATGAGTCTCCTCATTGCACTATCCACAATTAAAATAAGCTAAATATTTCCTAAGTGAGAAGTTGTGATTCTTATTATTTCTGATGCTTATTTCTCCAATCTTAAGTTGGTGAGAGCCTTCCAAAGATGAAGAATGCACTGTTTTGATCTAATCTTTGATGATTTCCTTGATTTCTAGTAGAATTACATATCTCACAATCTCCTTGTGTATTTGTTGCCTTAGAGCCAGAAACAGCCATTTCTCAAAAATACCCTCATTCATTTCCATGAGAAACTACAGTCTGGAGGGGTAGTCATTGCTGTTACTGCTATACTTTTCAGAGCTAGGAAATGCAGGGTTTTGTTTTTGTTTTTGTTTTTGTTTTTAAGGAAGAAGAAATAAGCTAAAATTAATATTTTACTTGGCAACATTTAAAATATTTCTAATGTGGTCCCTACCCACATGATAAGTATTGGTCTTATCCTATGATGTTCATACATCTTATTACATTGCTTCTTTTGTTGCAGCTTCCATATTCTAAAGGATGAAATGTTTACTAGACACACACTTTTCCGGCAATTTGCAATGATTGCTGACACCTCCTTCAATTACATTGTAAGTACTTTGAATACATGTGTCTGTGTCTATGAAAGACACATATTTATTGAATTCCTATCACATTATAGGCTCTAGCAATAACACACAACAGTCACCCTACTAGCTACTGAGGGCATAGAACAAAGTGAAGGGCCCCAAAGAGCTCAGTTAGTATGAAATAGATGCTAGATGTGTGTAAATAAGGCTGTTGCAATGCAACATGGTGGTTGAGCTGTGATAGAAGTCAGTGCAGATCCCAGAGAATGGGATACTCTTCCTGGGCAGAAGGATCTGCCCATTTGTTCATCTTTGACCACAAGTACTATGTTGGGGAATATCAAAGCTCAAGTTCAAGTCCCCAGTCACTTCTAAAGGGAAGAAGGTAAGCACCAACTCATTCATTTTCAGACTCAAAACTGTACTTACCAGATTTACATCACTAGGACAAAATAACTAAGACCTTTGAAGCAAAGCAATTCACTTAGCTCACAGTTGGAGCCTCAAAGTCCAGATAACATTGTATAGGCTGGTGGCAAGGACGGCACCATTTCATGACAAACAGCAATGGCAGGAGAGTCGAGTGGTCACATCCTGACCCAGGAAGCAGAGAGAAATCCAGGCTTACTCCATGCAACCACCATCTAGTGAAAACCCAACGGTTGCACAAGAACAACAACCTGAGCGCACACCCCAGAGTGACATAAAGACCTCCCACGAGGCACCACCTCATCATGTGTTAGTGGAATGTTAGGGATGTGAACCTTGGTGGCCCAATATACCATATTCAGACCATAGCATAGCAGACCTGTAGATCAAGTCCAACTCTAAAATAGACTTCTACTTATCCTGTTTCAGTGAGAGAGTCCTGCTGATGAAAGGAAAGATGGCCAGTGCAGAAACAGATCTGGTCCATTTCAACTAGCCAGTCAGTCAGCATGGTACCCCTTTAAACTGCTGATGCCATGCTGTTTTATTTGGATAAGTCAAGCTTTTTTTGTTTTGTTTTTAGAACAGGGTGTAAGAAACAGGCCGTAGGGTGTTGCTTTAGGAGACTTATAGTCTAAAATAAATTTCTTTCCAATTCCTCTCAACATTTTTCACTTTAAGACCACTTTCTAGGTCTAAGTTGTGACAAAGCATTCTGAAGTATCCTGTCAAGATAGTATTTTTAACTAAACCTACTTAGAAACCTGAGGGTTTTAAGAATTGTCTCCTAAGCAGGGCAGTGGCAGTGCAAGTCTTTAATCCCAGCACTCAGGAGGCAGAGGCAGGCAGATCTCTGCGAGTTCGAGGCCAGCCTGATCTACAAAGCAAGTTCCAGGACATCCAGGGCTGTTACACAGAGAAACTCTGTCTCAAAAAAAAAGAGATAAAGAAAGAAAAAGAAAGGAAGAAGAAAGAAAGAAAGAAAGAAGAAAGAAGAAAGAAAGAAAAGAAAATGATTTGTCTCCTGAAATATTCCCAAACTAGTCCACACAGAGAAGATGCACAGTATCTTTCTCCTTCTTCTTACTGAAGTTTGCAAATTCACTTGGCATCAGCCTCATCCTTGGTGTTTAACCAGCTGGACCAACAGAACAGAAAGTCCCACAAGAAGGCTGTGTCATTCCATCAGACATGTTTAATGTTTTCTGAGGGCGCTTAGCATCAATGTATCTATTCCTTAAAAATGTACTGCTGGAACTTTTATTTGTTAAATCGTATTTCTTAAGTCACCTTAGCAGTGGTTTATCACATCTGCTGCAAATAAATCAATACTAAAAGTCACCTTTAACTTTTAGTGCTATGTCCTGTGGAAAGCTAGCAGATATAGATGCCTGGAAAAACTTCAGGCTAGCTACAGCTTTGCTTTATATGCATTATACCTATGGTGCCATCTTCTCCCCTCAGCCCTATACATACATCCACTTTGCATTACACAGACTCCGGAGTCATCAGGAAGCAAGGGGTCTTGTTAAATCACACATTTTAAGTGGATTCTGAGTTTTGTTCTCTACCTCTGGGTTAAAGGAGCCTTTGACCACTCTTACATGTATTAGTTAAGTTTGGCAAATGTCCCCAAAGCAAAAGGGATCTTCAGGATGGGAGACATGGTATCTATCTTTTCTTAGACTTACATCTGATAGCATTCTTGATTATATTTTAATTTTTAAATTTTATGTGTATGAGTGTCTTGTCTGCATGTGTGTAGACGAACCATATGTGTGCCTACTGCCCAAGAAGGCTGTGGAGTTACCTGGAACTAGAGACACAGGTGACTGTAAGCTGCCACGTGGGTGCTGGGAACCGAACTCAGTTCTCTGAAAGAGCAGAGAGTGCTCTTATCCACTGAGCCATCTTACCAGCTCCTTGATTATATTTTCCACTGGTATGACAACTTTGAGGAATATAAGAGATGGGTTTATTTGGGTTTTAATTTTCTCTCATGTTTTACTAGTTGTAATTTTTCCATACCATATTCATGATTCTCTTGGATCTCTTCACAGTCTATTCATTTCCAGTGTCTTCTGCCTTCATCTCCTGAGGCCACATATTCTTGTACATGCATTTTCTATCCCCCTAGTCTCACACCCCATTATGGTACACTCTACAGTAAACCTGGAAGAGTTTCCTAACAAGTGTTTTTCACTCACCTATAGTAGGTCAATTGGTTTTCCCCCATTAAACATTTGATCCCACCCCCCTTTATGAGATTAGGCTATGGGGATAGAAAAAAATGCATGTAAATACATACATGTGCACGAATATAAAAATAAAGATACTCAACTCACAAAGAGTGAATAAGGAAATAAGAGGGAAAAAAACCTAAATTCTAAGCAGTGCACGTGGACCTCAAACTGTTTCTGGTGAGCATGCATGAGGCGACTTGCACTGTGTCACCCACACCTCCCTCTCATCATGATTTATTCACAAGCGGGTCACAGTGATGCAGATGTGCTTCTGCTTCAGAAATTCTGGAAGAAAGCCTCTCACTTGTTTTTTCTCTTGCCTTTTTGCCAGTCCATTCTTAGTGATCTGGGCACACTTCTGGAGCTTACAGCAACTATTTGAGATTGGAAGTCACCTTGTGACTTCTGACCTGTTACTGTGTGATGCCCTTCCATATCTGAAGGGCATTAGTTCTAGGATCACACAGAGGTACCAAGGTCCTTGGATGCTCAATATCTGTATTATTTTTGGAAAGACTTAGTGCTTGAGTGCGATGTTTTACAATCCTCCATAGACTTTAAATCTCTCTAGATTACTTGTACTACCTAATGCAATATATTATGCATTGAATAATTTACATAATTAGTATTATGTAGATGGTTGCCATATTGTATTGCTTAGGGAATAATGACATGGAAAATGATGTCTATACATGTTCATTACAGAAATAATTTAGAGGGGTTTTTTTTAGTGTTTTTTTCTCCACTGCAACTTGAAACTGCAAACAGAGCTATGCCCATGGAGGGCCAACTTGTAGAAAATCCCAGGTTGAAGGGATAATTAAGAGAAAGTAGAGTCAGAAGAGACACTGAGGAGAATATCTTTCTTGAATTGTCTTTCAAAACAGCCTCAGTAAAGCAGTGAATCTTTGCTCCTACTTGTTGGTGATGATGATGCTGATGTTGTTGAGTTGGGGCATCTCTTTATTACCCAGCCTAGTCTCAGGGTTTAAACAATCCTGCTTTAGCCCCTTGAGTATCTGGGACTCCAGGTGTACACCACCATTGGTTTAAAGGAAAGGACTTCTCCATCTGTATTTGAACAAATAAGAAATTAGAAGCAGGGTTTTCATGTCATAGTTGAGGAGTTAAAGAATGTGGTGGCTGTTCTTGGCTGTCAAGTTGACTACATCTGGAATTAACGAAAAGTCAAGCAGCGGGTTACACCTGTGAGAGATTCCTGATTGAATCATTGAAGTGGGAAGAGCCACCCTAAATCTGGATCTTCTGAAGTGGGAAGATCCACCTTAAATCAGGATCTTCTGAGGTGGGAGGATCCACTTTAAATCTGGACCACACCATCTGATGGCAGTCTATATAAAGGACATGGAAGAAGAGGATGCTTGCTCTTTACTTGCTTGCTCTCAATCTTGCTAGCAAGTTCATTCCTTCACTGGCATTACAGCCTTCTTCTTTTGGATTGTAGCATGTACCAAAAACCAGCTGAGACATCCAGCCTCTTGGACTGAAAAACTACTGGATTCTTGAACTTTCCATAGGGAGAAAGCCATTGTTGGAATAGTCAGACTACATAATCTGTAAGCCACTCTAAAAAAGAACTAAATAAATTTTATATACTTAGATTCACTATATCTGTTCTGCTTCTCTAGAGAAACCTGACTAATACAAAGAGCATCCACACCCTTTTGCTTTGACTATGATTTCCTCTTGACCCACAATACCTGCTGCTTGTGTCTTTCAGAGAGTCAAGCCTTTGTATGTACACTCTGCAATGAATTTGTCAGAGACACCATCTCCTACAAGTGTTTATCACTCATCCATGGTAGGTCAATTGTTTTTCCTCCATTAAATATTTAATCAGTTAATATTATTGAAGCTCAGTAATGAAACCTTTTGATTAACATGCAGATGGAGCACAAGTATATGGACGTATCCAATGACGAGGTGTCCTTTGCACACTTGCCAAAAGGTAAGAATCTAGGGAGTGGGAGTAGGGGTGTTTCTCATAATGCCAACCTAGTATATCTGAGGCCCCAGCATCTATCACAGCACCAAAGGAAAGCAAGGTAAGACTCCTTATTAAGGAAAAGATGTTCGAACAGAGAGTGAGTACACAAAAGGAATTAACCTTCGTGTCTCCCCCTCTTCCCTCCTCCTCTTCTAAGCCTCAATCTGTAGTCCAGGTTGGCCTAAAACCTCACAGAAGTCCTCCCTCCATTTTGCTTTTCTTGTTTAGCTTAAGGTATTTGGTATTATGGATGAAAGTGGGACTTTTCAGCCAATTTATAAACTTTATGCATTTCTGTATTCTGACTGCTGCTAGTTGAAAATGAATTTTGTCTTTCTTCAAACTCAGAAACTATCTCAGTTAAAATTTCACTTCTTTTAACTAGACTGCAAAAAAAGAATGGAAAAAAATCTAAACACCAAACCCTGAATCTCTAGTTAAATGTCTATTTATCCAATCTAGTAATTAGCAGAAAAATAAGACTTTTTTTGCAAATTTCTCTTTGATCAATCCCTAAAGATGTGGGGTTTTTTTTACACTAAATTAGATGTGTTTTTTACACTAAAACTTATTTTGTCTATATGCATCTGTAAAACTTTTCTCTGACCTTGGAAACCAAAATAAATCTACATAAGAGTGTTCAGGGTGAGGGCAGATATGTATACCCAGAGAAGCTTGGGGGCTGACGGTGGATCTCAGTGGTACAGTGCTTCCTTAGTGAATATGAGACCCCAGGCTCAATCTCCAGGATTGGGAAAAGAGAATTCATTATTTAAAGCTTATAAATTTATGGAGCATAGTAAGCAAGTAGAATTAACAAAATACAGCATTGTTATTTTTGAATTATGAGCACTGATTATGACTAATCATTGAATGAGTGATTCATTTGGCATATCTGGACATGTTTAAAAGTAGGCTATAAAACTTCAATGAAACTTTCTGCAAGGGGGATGCATGTGGTAAGAGCTTAAGTCCTGGCCTCTGCAGAAAGTGTGAAGGGTCTCTTTTCCTGGGCATCTGTGCAGTGGGGGGCTTCCTGTGGTTGTTTCCACCTCTGATATCGGGTTAGTGGTTGTCTTCCTAGGAACAAAGGAATCCTTGAGCAATCACAGTGATGGACACCTCCTCAGGACTGACAGTAGATTACATCCATGCTCAGATTGGACTCCATAGATGCTTTTACCATTGCTTTACCAGCAATGGTTAAAGATTTCAGTATTTAAATAATGAATTAGATCTGTTAAATCGCAAATCCCACCTTATATGGTAAGTTATTTCTAAAATAGCCAAATGTGCTTGTGGCTTATCAAAAAAAAATATGGATTGGTAAATTCAGAGTTTGTTGTTGACCTGAAGTTTGAATTAGGAAACTGTAGGCTCAGCAGTGCATTCCCAAATAATCCAGTTGAGGACAGTGCATCCACAGGTGACTTTCCAGGTCTGGAGCTACAGCTCAGTAGAGAGCCTCTGCCTTGCATTCTCAAGGTGCTAGATTTCACACACACACACACATACACACACACACACACACACACACACACACACACACACACACACACACTAGAGAGCCTCTGCCTTGCATTCTCAAAGTGCTAGATTTCACACACACACACACACACACACACACACACACACACACACACACACCTCTTTGTAATCTTAATTGACTTTCCAGAGGCAAAAAAATTATTTTTCAAGGGCCCACTTAAAGTATTAATAGCACAAATGACTGGACATGGTAAAGCAGCTGAAACAAACACTCATGCCTTCCTCATCCTTGGAAATGCAAAATGCAGAATTATCTCCACCGAGTCTGCTACAAGTCCTCTAGAGTCATAGTTCACTTTTTTGTCATACAAATCAGACTAAATATAAATGCGTTATATGACTATGAGTTTTCAGATAACCATAAAGCTGATGATTCTAGCTATTAATTTACACCATGAAAAATGTTTGCACCATAATGCCGCTGTACAAAAGAAAAAGAAGCAGATCTCTGACAAAGCCTTCACACGTTATGCTCTTCCTCTCTCTGAAGATAATGCTGGGAAATAATTCAGTTAACCAACATTCCCGCTTTTACTGAATGAAGACAAACAAATGAATGTAAGGAAGAAAGCTAAATGACTAATTTAATAATTCGAGAAGTGGATAAGTCTCCTCAATAGAATGCAGATTTTAGAGGCAGTAGGCTTGTGGATGGATAGTATCCTTGACAACATGTCAAAGGACCACATTGTCACCACCAAGCAAATCATTCCAAGCTCCCCAGCTACTTTGTAGGGTTAAGGAAATAACCTTTGTGGCTCCTAGAAAATAATTTAATATGTTACTAGTATTTTCTTTTTTTTTTTTTTGTTTTTTTTTTTTTGTTTTGTTTTGTTTTCGAGACAGGGTTTCTCTGTGTAGCTTTGCGCCTTTCCTGGAACTCACTTGGTAGCCCAGGCTGGCCTCGAACTCACAGCGATCCGCCTGGCTCTGCCTCCCGAGTGCTGGGATTAAAGGCGTGTGCCACCACCGCCCGGCATTACTAGTATTTTCAAGCACTAATTCACAAATATTAATGTGGTGTTAGATATACAGTTAATATGTTTCTAAACTATAAGCAAATTTTTATCACTTTCTATACCATGAAGAGAGGTGTTCACAGTAATGTATCTGGCAATGGACCATAAATGGAACTTTCTCTGTATCTCTGTGTCTCTCTCTATCTGTCTCTGTCTCTCTGTCTGCCTCTCTCTCTCTCTCTCTCTCTCTCTCTCTCTCTCTCTCTCTGTGTGTGTGTGTGTGTGTGTGTGTGTGTGTGTGTTGCATGCACGTGGGTGTATAGTATATGTATGGACACTCAGAGGCCAGAACAGGGCATCAAATGTCTTCCCCTCTCACTCTGATTTATTGCAGTGAGACAGGGTCTCTCGTGGGACTGGAGGCTTGTCTTTGGGGCTATGCTGGATCCTTGGTAAATTCTCAGGATCCACCTGTCTCTACTCTAATTCTGGCATTACAGGCACATGCAGCCATGACTAGCTTTTTGCCTGGTGCTTGGGATCTGAACTCAGGTCCTTGTGTGTGCTGAGCAAGGGCTCTTAACCAGTCACTCAAGTTTGCAGCCTCTGGAAATTAGACTCTTTGAAGTCACTGGTTTGTATTTTTTTGTTATTGTTCAAAATATTCAAATCAATATTAAGATCTAAAGTGCCCCATTGAACATGAAAACAATAACCGTCTCCGTTACAGCGTTCTATACCACATCAAAGATTTAAGTTCCTAGGCTGTACTTTCACACCACAGGATACTCTTTAAAAGTATGTACAGCTGACATATAGTAGGAAGAGGTAATATTCTAAGTGCTTTTTCAGGTGTTAACTCTTAATTCTCACTAGCACCCCAGAGGTAGGATTTCCCTTATCAATTTCCTTCACTTAACAGGTGGCTCACGGGAGTACATCAAGGGCTGGCAAACTGTTATGGTTATACCGACAGTGGGACTGGGGGATTCCATCAAGTGACCCAAAAGTCTGTGCCAGGCACCCCTGGGCTGGGTTATCTGACCCAAAAATGCATACAGGACCAGGCACCGTCTTGTTTTGACAAGGTACAGGAGACATTTTGTGATGCATCAGGAAGAGCCAGTGCTTTGGAGGCCGACAGACTCAGGCTCCAGTCTCAGCTCTGCTCCTTAATCCCTGGGCAGCTTCCTCTGACTTTCCTCAGCTGTGTAGGAGCAGAGACAACCCTACCTGGTGCACTCACTGAGAGGATTAAATAGAATAATCCCCTAGAAGACATATGGAGCTGATTCGCCCATCGGCTTCTCTTCACAAGTCATTTCTAGTACGACCCGAGACTAAAGTCTGGCAGATCTATATTTTAACTTACCGTGTGAAAGCAGCAAGGCTCTAAGCAGTAGGTGCATACATTAAAATGATTTCACCTTTGTTTTTTTAATAACTAGTTTTCCATCAGGCATGGGTAAAACTGAAGTTTTACTGAAGTAAACTGAAGTAAAACCGAGGCTAGTGCATACAAGGCTTTGAGAAAGGGAATTAAAATAATAACATATAATCAAACCAATGTTAGATCAAGGAAGACCTGCCTAAGCAGGCTGCATGTGACTTCTTTGTGATGAAGTCCTGAGAGTTCTAAAGAGAGCCACAGGGCTTCAGTCATGCAATAGCTAGTTTTAAGAGACAAAAAAAAAAAAAAAAAAAAAATCTGACTAGTAGAAGGGAATAAAAAACAGGACACCACACTATCTGCAAAATCTCAAAGCAGTTTTTTACATGGTGGTAATTATCCCAAGAGAGCACAAGTAAGATTATTAATTTGTTTGCTACTTCCCTGTGATAAAATGTGGGATGTGGGCCTCCCATTGTGTGCCCCACACAGCCTCCGGTCTTATGTACTCAAGCAGACCTTTCTCACAGCCCAGTAATTAGGTGTTATTGACATTGTAATCTCTGGAAATGTTCTTAATGAGCCCAAAAGACACGAATCCCATAGATAAAACCTCAAAGTAACTGGCTGTGTATGCACCTTGTCAGGAAGAGAAGGCTCAAACATCAGTATCTGTGTCAGGGGAGACCCATACTGGAGTCTAGATTACCTTGTAGAGTTGATTTTCTGGGATTTCTGGGAAAGAAATACCCAATAGGTTTCTTGAAAGCTTTTGAAGAATAGTAGAATAACCATAATATATTTGATTAAAAAAATTAGAATCTTTTCACCCTTTAAAAATTGAGAACAGTTTATTCAAAGTCTTTTTCCCACCACTTGGCAAGACTAAATGTCAATTAAAAGTTTAGTTTAGTTGCACCTGAATCTGTTTTAAATACAAAAATGGTTTGTTTGTTATTTAAATCACACAGAGAGCTGGAGAGATGCCTCAGCAGTTAAAAGCACTTATGCTCTTACAGAGGACCTGCGTTTAATTCCCAGCACCCACATAACAGCTCACAAGT